TCCACCTCATTGTCCCTTTCAGAGTTTGCACAGTGTACATCGTGACTTGCTCAGTGATCTGAGTTTGGCCACCAGTCCGAATATGAACTTCATCAGTATCAGTGAGGTGTTTCTCAAGGCCCGGGATAGTTTGCTCATCTACGGCGAGTATTGCGGTCACGTGCAACGTGCGCAATCTCTCGTGCTCGAACTGATGCGTAACGATGTGGAAAAACGCACCCGGATCGAGGTAAGTCATTGACCTGATGAGGTCTGTAATGCTCTCTCTCTCGCGCGCGCGCTTTCCCTAATCCTGAATACCGGAAATTGTTTTTGTCCTTACTATGGTTACAGCATTCCAACACGCATGTACACTCCCATTGAATGTGTGATGGTCTCCAGATTGACAACAGTGTCACACACGCACATGATACCCAATCGATATACTGAGTCATGTGATCGGCACCCGCTTGATTGCAATCGGCATGCGGTGTGAGTAACTGGTGTGTGTGTGTGTGTGTGTTACCTTATCCGGTTGGTCTGTTGTCGCTCGTTTACTCTGAATTCGCGTCCATGCTTGGATAAATCACTGATCATATGACAACAATACGCACACACACAGTCCCTCGTCATTTTATTGTTCTCTGTCTTCTTTTTTTGTTCTCCTCAATGCACTCTTATTTTGCTTTCTTATTGTTTTGTTTTGCTTTTATAAATGCGCTGCACATCACGGTGGCCAGTATTGATCAACCCATCTCTCGGTTCTCCTCACTTACAGTCTTTCGGGGGTGTATTTGACTTCTACTCAAACAGAAGAGTAGTATATATATATATATATCAGTAATCCTGAAGACAATGTGTACTCATTATCTAAGGTCGTTTCAAATCCGAGTTTTGCTAACTGCTCTAAACAAGCTAGCTAGGGTGGTGGTGGCGCAGTGGTTTACTCGCTGTCACCGGCGTACTTTGGACCCTAATGTCCGAGTTTCGAGCCCCGCCACCACCACCCAAATTTGGTGGTGGGCATCTGTGCTGTCGTCCGGTTCAACACCACACCTAACCCGTTGAGGCCTAATGTGGTTCGCCACTACAAGTCCAGGGTCTTAGGTTGCCGGTCTTCATCACTGAACAGCAGATCCTTGTGACTATGAGGCTTTCCCCGTCTGCTGTTCATCACACGAAAAAAGTGTGTAATAAGAAAAAGATAGCTACCAGGGATCTGTGAACAAGGACAGTGAACTCCGTTTACCAAAATCATTCACCTCCCACCCTTGATAGTTTTTTCCATGGCATGAGTCTATCAGAGTTGTCATGAGCTCTTCCTGTTATTTATTGGCATCAAATCTTGTCTCCAACATGCTACACTTGTCTAGGATTAACTCACTGTTGTTATCAGGAATGGTAGCCCAGTATGCTGATCGCATAGTGTAGAACCAGTTCTATTTTGGGGTCACCTAAAATTGGAAAACTTCACCAAAGGACACAGCTTAGCTTGCTCTAGTTGAAATAGAAAGAACAGGAGTAGGAATGGCAGCGGATAGGGAAGGGAGTCAACTTCGCTGTCGCCCGGTTTTTAAGCACATTATGAACCACCAATTCAAGCCCCTCTCGGGTTTTATTGTTTGTTCTCCTAACCGTACAGCAGCTCCTTGTGATCGTGTGGTTCATCCCTTCTAACGATAATCATAATCGGGTTTTACGACGATGACGACGACGACAGTAGGAGTCTTTTAAGGGGGAGATTTGTACCATACTGATACTAAATTCACGTTTACTGTTTTCACTGTGCCGAATTTCCAAGACCGAAATCTAGATGTTACCTCATTGTCCGGCTTTACTTTATGGTTATGTAACATGATCATTTCACATAAAAGATACAAAACGACTCTGGTTGTTTAAACACTGATGTTTTTCTAGGAGACTCAAATATAGTGCAGCATTTAAACTAAGTGTTTGGTCCTGGATTTTAGAGGCTTAGTACTGACAGGTCAAGCATTGGTGGTGCACAAGTTTGCGGGTAGACTCTTTTTGTGGGCGATCATCGTACTGGTTACGGGACTATTGAAGATGATTTGCTCGGAATATGAATAAAAGGTATGAGAACTGTTGAGCAGAGCAGGTTTGGCTTTAGGCAAGTTGATGTTCGAGAAGCAATTTCGGTAGTCCATAGACGGTGATAGCTTCACTCGGTGTTTACTGATAACTCCCTCTTTCCGCTTTTGTGTCTGCACCCCGTTCTTGAAAGAGACGGGGGGGGGGCGAACATATCTACTGCTAATAGATAACTGGAAGAGGGAATCTTTCCATGTCAATGTGAAAATGAATACTGTTCGATTCCCGCCTCCGGATGAGCTGTTTGGTGTCAATAGGTCATTAGTTATTTTTTGGAGTTCCCACTCATTTGATACGTGAAGCCTCAAAACTCATTTTCTTTATCCATCCAAGATATGTGTGCTGACCTTCGCCACCCCCGTTTTTCCGCAGGGGGGTAACGTTGGAAGTTGGGTCTTTTCAATCATCGTCGGAATGATCACATGCATGCAATATTCCGTGAGATCTAGGCTGCTTAACTCAAAAGTTCTTTATTTGAATTGGGCTTGAGTTTCTTTTCTTGAACAATCTCAGCTTTTGGTATATAAATTTTCGGCTAATCATCTTATGAAACGGTATTACG